TCTAATAAAAATACTGAAAGAAGGTGCAGTTGCCTGTTTAAAACAAGAAATTTTGTTACATAGTCTGTTATATTGAGACCTATTTTTGGCATAGAAAGTGATCGAATTGGAGAATGATGTATGAATCAAAGTTGTATCCAGATGAGTTATCTTTCCAACGCATTTTGAATCGCCTCAATCGGACATCCAAATACAAAGTTATGATAAAAACACTGAAAGAAGGTGCAGCTACATGTTTAAAACAAAAAATTTCGTTACATAGTCCGTTATATTGAGACATATTTTTGGCATAGAAAGTGATCGAATTGAAGAATGATGTCTGAATCAAAGTTAACACATTTTGAATCATCTCAATCGAATATCGGAATACAAAGTTATGATAAAAATATTGAAGAAAGGTGCAGCTGCCTATTTAAAACAAGAAATTCCATTAGTTTTTCCGTTAAACCAACAAATTCCGTTAAATAAGCACTTTTTATATATAGAAAGATTTTATATAATGCATTAAGTTATTTATTAAACAACTTATATTAATATCTTATAATTTTATTTCAGGGAACGTTTAAAAAAAATAATCAGAAAAGCCTATCAATTTAGATCATCAAGATCCTAAACAAGTTTAACCAAGTTCCATGGCTCTTAATACGTGCCCTCGGTGAGTGATAGATCTAGGAATGTTGGTGAGCTAGGACGGTCGTTGACCGTCGACCTTTAACGGCTGCAATAATGAAATCGTTTATTAATATTTAATTAACTAATATTAAAAATTCTTTCATCAATATATAAATGTAATAAAACGTAAAAATCTATACATATGCAAATATAATCTAATACAACCTAAAATGATAAGAAAAATACATGATACAACTTTTATGGTGGATGATTGAGGGCTAAAATAACATTACAATGAATTCAAAAAATGATATCAACAATGGATATATTAGTCCAAGATATTATAATTGATGAATTAATTAACGTCCTTAATCCACGAGAACATTTAACAAGCATCACGTCAACTTGGAAGTTACTTTCACAAGCAAAGTGACAATCTGTAATACTATTCAACTTCAATGACTAAATATGCTCGAAGAATGCTTTAAGCACCAATGTGAAATTTCACACAAACAACTCCCATGAAGGAAAGAAAAAAAGTGAATAAATGCCCAATAAAAAAAAAATTGAAAAAAAATAGAACTTAAAGATTTAGACTACGTTGATTAACTCATTCACAAGACAAGTGTTGAGGGGGTCATTTAGGATTGGTCTTTAGGGCTTATGTCATGAAAAATAAGGGTGTACCAAACTCGATTCAAATTAATTAAAGGTGAGTCATCTTCGAACAATTTATTGATCCATCAATGTTTAATTTGATTTACAGAGTTTTTCTTCATGGGATTGGTAGGTCCCCCATTAGAATTATTTCACAAAATCCTAAACCCCATTTTGTTCAACTCAGCCCATTTGCATAAGGAACAAACAAATCAAAACCCAGATGAAAAGATTTACTATGAATTACCTCATTTAGAAAAGGCTATTTTAGCCTCCAAGTACTTGAATTTTGATTCTACAAAAAAATTTCGATTCAGGAGGGAGATACGACTTACGATATGAGAGAAGAGATAGGGTTTTCTTAGTGGGAAAAATTCATAGGTCAGGGATTATCTTTCACGAAATCAAAAATTAGGCCCTAAAAATTTACAAAATTCAGGTTTTTCCATTTCACTCAAAGTAAAGTACAAGAATAGGAGCCCAAATTGAGGCACAAAATACCGATAAAGTTAGGGAAAAATTCATAAGTCAGGCCCCAAGGTTTAAATTTACAAAATTCAGGTGTTTCCATGAATTAATTAATTATATTTTACAATTAATCTATTAAATTAAATATTTAACTATAATATAATATTTATATAATTGACCCACCCCACCGACCAACTCCACCCAACCTTCACCTCTGCCATCACCACCTTCACTGCTCCGGAGATCGGTGGCTGTTCTTCGGCCACGCTTAATTCCAGCGAGTATATTTTCGGTGATCGTTGGCCGCCGCTTAATTCCGATAACTACTCCTATTCCAAGGTCACATATATCTTATTAAGTAGTTAAAAATTTAATTTTCAGACACAACTTATTAATTAATTGGTCACAGATTATTTCGAGATTACAGATCAAAAAATTGAGTCATTCACAATTAAAGAAAATTTGTTGGTCACATATTTTCAAATTTGTTGGTCACATATTATATTTTGAGTCACAGAATAACAAATTTTAAAGTCACAGATCGATATAGTTAGTCACATACACCCAAATACCTGTCCCCCAATCCCACCAATACTTGTTCACAGATCCACCAAATAGTTGGTCACAAAAACTTTTCGTCCCATCCGCCCGACGTCGCTACGT